CCCCAAAACCCCAAAACCCCAAAACCCCAAAACCCCTTTTATGATTTAGGGTTTAAAATCTTTACTTAAATAAATATTTGTCAATTGGCTGACAGATCATGAAAGCCTCGGCCTAGAGTTTAGCACTTAAGCTTACATTTGGCTTAGAGAAGGACCTCTCTGCTTTATGAGCTTTCTGGAGCTGTTGACAGCCTCTTCTTCGTTCTCTTTGATCACTTTTGGTATTTTAATTTGTAATTTCTGTAAAATTTAAGCAATAGCCTTACAGTTTTTCTTACCCTTTGAATTCGTGAGCCAAAGTTTCCTCTTAGCCTATTAATAACCAGATCAGTATTACTCTGATTTTGGAGAAGCATCTTGGGATTTGATTATTTTAAAAGAAGATTCCCTTCTGATTTGGCTTAAGTCATGCTTTTGGCTAATATATTATAAGGAGCCTTTACCTGAAAGATGTAACTAAGATATTATCAAGCCTAGTTGAAGCTTGTTTCTTCTCTTTATTAGACTCTGTTAAGCTATTGTTTAGATCTGGTTTTAAATTGTCAAAATCTAGTATCTAAAAATGACATCAAAGGTGAGACTTACATTTGAGTCTCAGGATTTTATTCCTGGCAATCCTAGCACAATCTGGGAGTTTCTCTATTGAAATTGTAAGATAAATTACCGAGTTCAATGCCATTTGTTGCAAATTAAATATGTTTGAAGAGTTCCTTTTCGCTCTAAATATGATTGTTAGACGGAAAATTCTATCCAACTTTGACCAATTTTTCTTAGATTTTCTGAAATTACTGATGATATTCAGAATTTTCAAGGAGCAGATTCATAATATTTCTGAATTTCTAGGATTTACCTCAGATTCTTAATGTTACTATTTGGCAAGCCGACATGGGTATTTTTATGTCCCTATTGGTAATGACACATTGTACCTTCTTCTTTGGTCTACTCTGGGATAATTCTAATGGTCAAAACAATTCTTACTTGTTGGTTTCTTATTCTGGGGACTTAAGGGGGCGGTATCAAAATTTACTTCTTTCTTCCTTTGATATTAAAGAAATAAATTACTTTGTCCTGTTTATCTTTGAGAGAAATGACTGAACACTTTGAGAAATATCTTCATCTGAACTCTCTTCCTCTATCTCCTTCTTTGGCATCACTGGGCCGATATAACCAACTTGGGATGAACGTTTAGAATCTAAAGGAAAGCTGCTAAAATACCTTTGCTATTATCTATCAACTGACTGTTTTTCATCATCTTTTTTGTTTCCTCGATTTTATCATTCCTTATGTACTCATTTTGATTCTGAATACCTTTGATTTTTCTGTAGAATAAAACAAAGGGCTTACTTATAGTTCTGAAAGAGACCATACCGCATCATTTTGAGGCATTTTCTCAGATCTTTATTTGTCATTTTTGAGGACAAGGTTAGCAATACCAACCCATTTATTTAGTAGCTTTCTCAATAGGATTCATCAAGATATCAAGTTGCACTATAAAGATTGATATTCTGCAATTACTTTCTTCAGTAGCTATATCCTCTTCGTTGGACAGATGACATTTATTTATGATGAGATGCAAAATAATAGTTAATTTTCTCCTGAATCTTTTTATCTGGGACTGCATTTCTATAAGATATATATGAAGCAAGTACTTTATTCCTAAATTAGCAGGCTGAATAGCTTTTAACAGTTTTCTTCCTTTTCTGTTGTTCATTCTCTTGTAACTGTTGAACTCTAAGCAAGAAAATGACTCTTGTGGGCAGAAGTATTAAAGTACACTTACTTCAGCCTTTAGATCTTTCAGCTTCCTTCTCTTTATTTTATCACCACTGAATTAGAATTTCTGAGAGCTTTCTTGCTATATAAAAATGTAAGCAAGCAAGTAAGTAAAAAATAGCAAAAGAATAGTCAAATAAATAGCGCCCAGTTCCTTACCTCTTTCATGGTTGCTTTTGAGGACTTAAAAGTCCAAATCTGCCTAAAAAATTAGTAGAAATTTACTCAAATCAACTGGGGCTATTCTTCTGGACATTCTTCTTTTGGCCATATTGGCTTGCGAAGGTGACATGAATCCGAAGAAGTTGAATCCTTTTCTAGCCTCTGCGCCTCCTATCTTTGGGGATTGTGCCATTATATATTATTCTTTCAATTAATTAGTTTAGATAAGGGGTTTTGGGGTTTTGGGGTTTTGGGG